CGTGATCCTGCAGCCGGTTGCGTAGTGGATGGGCAGCTGGTAGAGTGCCGCCAGAGTCAGGAGTTCGCGTCCGGATTCGTCGCTCACGTCGTGGTGGAGCCGCTGGCCAAGGATCCTGCGCTCCCCGGGTCTCGGGGCGTGGTTCTGGAGCTCATCCTTCCCGATGTGGCAGTTGAAGTCGCCCAATACCAGAGGCCACCGATGCTGCGGAACCGCTCCCAGGGCGGCGGAGACCGATGCCATGGTGTCCCTACGGGCGGCCCGCTGCTGCTTGCTGGTCCCGCCGGGGGCGTGGACCGCAAGGACGGTGAACTGGGCGCCGAGCATGTCCACCTCCGCCATCACCAGGTCACTACGCAGCACCCCGATCGACGTTAGGGAGATATCGGGGTGGTTCCTCCTCACCAGAATGGCCACTCCTCGCCCTCCCTTCCGTTGGGTCCCCTCGACGTGCCATTGGAAGTTCGAGGTGTGGCTAGTCTGGGGAGGAAGCCGCGTCTCCTGGATTGCGGCCAGCAGGACGTCCTCTTGCATCAGCCTGGCGTCGATGTCCTCCCTCTTGGAGCGTAGAGCACAGCCCCGAACGTTCCAGGTGGCCACTCTGGCCCTTGGCTCCTGCTGCCGTCGCCGGCCCTCGTCGATCCTTGGGGAGGGGGGGGGGGTGCTTGGGGCAGGCGCGCCCTGCTCCGACAACGCCAAGACCGCAGTTGAGGTAGTACGAATCGGCGAGCTCGGAATGGAGTTCTCCGCGTCGGAGTCCTCCGCCTCCTCTGCCCCTCGGTGAATCCTCTCAACTCCGGCCAGCCGTCTCCGTTCCCCGACCATCCTCAGGAGCGGCTCCTCGCTGACGGCAACATCAAAGTGGTCAAGCACCCTTTGACCCACCTCAATCTGTCGTCCCACTAGGCAGAGCGGCTCCACCCTCGCTGGGGCCCCGGCTGGAGTGGTAGTCGTCGTCGCCCCTCCTTCTCAGAAGACTCGGACCGGGCGGGCCAGGAGGGTGGCGAGGGCCCCGATGAGCACCCGCGACGTAGGCCCGTCGTGTCGGCGGATGAGGTGGATCGCGGCCTCCTCCCTCTCAGCCCTCGTCTCCGGCAAGGGCCTGACGAAGTCCGCCGCATACTCCTGGAGCTCCTCCTCGAAGTCTGCCCTTCTCCGGTGCATCAGCGCCGCGACCGCCACTCTCAGGTCCAGGGCCCGGAGGTGCGCAGCAGGTTCGTCCTCTGGCGTGATGGCCATGGCCGCCGCTCTGAACAGCGCATCTGGGCCTCCTGGCACCGGCCTGTAGCTGACCACCGCCGCCGATGTGCGTATCTCCATCTCCCTGTTCCTGTAATTGAGAGCGTATTAGCGTGTGTCTTTTTTATCAGCCCTTGTGCCCTGCCGAGGCGCTTCGCTCCGGCGCGCCTTGTGCGCCGCCTGAGCGTTGCTGCTTTGCCAGTGTCCAGGCTGTCGTGCCTCGATGGTCTAGCCCTACCGCACAACAACAACACCCTAATCACAACAACAACAGCCGCCTGGCCCGCCGTCCGCTATCACGCGGTTCTCAGCCTCCCTCCGGCTGTGCGCCTCAGCGCTGGCCGGCCGCCCTGCACGCCGTCCGTCCTACCATCATTACTGACTAGGGTGCCGCGAAAAACACTTTTTTCTGAAATTGATATCGGCTCGGGTGGCAAAGTGTTCTCTCAGGGGCCAATATGAACGGTTTTAAATATCACCCCGATCGGATAATATCTTCAGCCCCCACAACGGCGTTGAAAATCGGAAAAGTGGTTAAAAACGCCTTGTGGGTAGGCAATTTGTTTGCACGATTCCGGCCACTTCCAGGCAAGTCCTTAGGCTTAAAAAGTCGAAAAGGGACCCCCTAAGCCTAAAATAAATTTGTGGACAACCTCACTCTATGATAAATACTAGTTTCTGCAAAGTTAACGCATGATATTTAACAATTCTGTCATGATTTGCCTGTAAATTCCCACGTACGTCACTTTCGCCCATTTCGACCGTCTTTTTCTCCGATCTGACTTGCTTCCTGAGGTCAGAAGGGTCGATTTAGGGGGGGTTCATTTTGGGTCAAAAATCGCTAGGACGCTCTGTTCGGCGGGAAAATTGGGTCTAATTAATCAATTTTCCAGCAATTTCGGTTATTTTGACCCAATTTTTCCGCCAAACGGACCGTCCTAGCGATTTTTGACCCAAAATGAACCCCCCCTAAATCGACCCTTCTGACCTCAGGAAGCAAGTCAGATCGGAGAAAAAGACGGTCGAAATGGGCGAAAGTGACATACGTGGGAATTTACAGGCAAATCATGACAGAATTGTTAAATATCATGCGTTAACTTTGCAGAAACTAGTATTTATCATAGAGTGAGGTTGTCCACAAATTTATTTTAGGCTAAGGGGGTCCCCTTTCGACTTTTTAAGCCTAAGGACATGCCTGGGAGTGGCCGGAAGCGTGCAAACAAATTGCCTACCCACAAGGCGTTTTTAACCATTTTTCCGATTTTCAATGCCGTTGTGGGGGCTGAAGATATTATCCGATCGGGGTGATATTTAAAACCGTTCATATTGACCCCTGAGAGAACACTTTGCCACCCGAGCCGATATCAATTTCAGAAAAAAGTGTTTTTCGCGGCACCCTAGTCTGCACCTGTCCTTGACTCTGGCTGGGCTCTCCCTCTGTGGCCGTCCCGTGTAGCCTGGCCGTCTACAGTGCCTCCGTCGCTGGCCGCTTCGTCGCTACCTCGGCCGGAGCGCTGCCTGCTACCGGCTGGAGGGGGCGGGGGGAGGGGAGGGAGGGGAGGGAACGCCATGAGGTGAGGGGAGGTGGGGGAAGGGGGTCGTGGTCCATCAGACCCATTCGCTCACCTGTGTTTGGACAGTGCTGTAGAGCTTCATGTGCCATGGCCCCATCGTTGGACGAGATCGTCTCAGCCATCCTCGTGTGGCTAGAAAGTCACTCCCTTCCTGGTGCAGGTGAGTTTTGCTCTCCGTCCTCCCCTTTTCCCGAGCCCCAGTCCACTGACCTACTTTGTTGAGTTTCTAGGCCTGGGGCCCTTGCTTAATTCCGGCCTCCGTCCCTGGGCGTTGGGGCATTATTATGCCTCGGTGAACGCTACAGGCAAGCCCCATCCGTTCCTCTTGCTCCTGGACGGCGACGCCGACTGGACTTCATCCCTCATGTTCTGGCTAACCTCCAATTTTGGCCTACTTAGTGAGTATACCATCCACTACCTTTATACCCCTACCCCCACCCTGTTGCTATAGTTTACCTGTCTTGTAGGTACCCTGACTGTCGACGACGTGCTTTTCAACTGGAGCACGGGCCGTATCGCCGAACTCCGAGCGGACTCCAGTGCAATCCAGGGTGCTGGCCCTGTCGGAGGCCCCGTCGCCGGCCCTTCCCGTGGCCCCGGGGCGTCGTCCGCCGCCGGTCTCCGGGTGGAGCTCAGCCCCGTCTCCCCTTGCTCCCCTCCCCCCTTCCCCACCTCCCCTCATACCCCCCTCGACCCTTGTGCCCCTCCCTACTGGGAGGGTGTTACTCACGAGGACTGTGATGTTTTTGATCCGTCAGACCCTTGTTTCTGTTTCGATGTGGTTGAGGATGATGGGGGAGCCGCCGAATTAGCCGCCGCTTGGTTGGAGTGGATGCAGGAGGCTTACGAGCTTTATTGTGAGGAGCAGTTGACCCTATCCGACGAGCTACATGGGCCCCAGCCCCAATAAATCATACCTTCTTCTTGTACGTCTTCATGCTTTCTTCCTCCCTTCTTGGTTCTGCTCATGTAACAGATAGACACTTATTAGACCTGCTCACACCTGGCTTAGCTATTCGACACGCATTACGCGTTTGGCGCTTGGCTAGGAGGTAGGCACTTATTTACTAGAAAGCCAGGCATAAAGCAGCAAGCATCACACACATGCCACCCCCGTCCCCAGGAAAGAGCGCTTGGAGCTGCCGCCACGATAGTTCAGACCTAAGCTGTCCTCCCTACCGCCTTTCCCAACAAAGCTTTTCAAGCTGTGATGTATATAAAACTTGAATATATTATAGATTTTTGTTAAATTTTAGTTAAATATCTCCCATGGGATCTCAACCTCTATTTCAATCTTCAGTTCAAGCTACTGCTGATTGCGCTTTATGTGGGGTGAAAGGCGGTCTTTGAGTCATGAAGTTTTCGGTGCATGAGGGATGTTACGATGTGAAGCCAAAGAACTGTATTTCAAAATTTTCTATGGGGACTTAAACTCCATCTCAAACTTTGGCCTGCTTACATGGGGCGGTGAGAAAAAAAAGTTGTGACAAATGACTTCTTTGGTGAATACAAACCAAAAATTATAAAACCCCGTCCTAAACTAGGAAAACAAAGTGAAAATACTGTTAATCCCACATTCAAACTTAGAAAAATTAATAAGTATAATCAAAGTACAGAAAACAAATTATTTTATCTTTATGAAATGTCAACTTGCAAATGGGAACTTAGGCTCAGCCTTAAGTTTAGACTTTACCTAGTATAAGACAATGTTCGCTAAAGGTTAGGGGTACGGACTTATGAAAGTACTGGCAAAAGTATATCCACACGAATTCGAGACATAAAAAAATAACCTACCCTTTTGAAAAGATGTTAGAAGTTAAGGGTAATAACTTTAACTCTTGTGATAACGTTATGATGCCCTTATGAGGTAAGTTAAGGATCCCTGACTCCACAGACAACCGGCACTTCGAGCTATGCGAAATGACAACCTTTCAAACGGCCGAGGATCTAACAATACAATACAAGACAGACCTTACCTGCAGTACAGCGGGGCGAGTTGCAAATCTCATGAACATTAGGACATGAAAGGGAGATCCGATCTTTTCCCGTCACGCGGCCTTAATGGGGATAGGGCCCCAACGGCTTCGTGCGTGTTGATGCATGTCGGGTCAGGCACCGGCTCATGAATTCCGTGTACCCTGATGGCTATCGGATTGCTGTTCATTGTCGTTCTCTGCGGGAGAGGGCTTTTCCACGCCACTCAATGAAGCCTCTCCATGTTGCAACTGTCAGCGCACTGGTCGCCGGACCGGCCAATGTAGAGCTCCAGCGATGATCCGGCACCATGTGGTCGGGCACCAAGTAAGTGATGAAGACGATAGATTCAGAGGCGTCTTATACGTCGAGCTCAAAATTCAGGGCAAGGTTAAGATTCGTAAGGGAAGGCAAGGCTTCACATGATGGTTTTTGTTAGAATGACTACAAAACACATAAATCCATTATTTTTTTATGTGAAGAAAATGTTTCGTCGTCTTCAAATGAAAGTTTTAGTTTATCTCAACTGGTGTCACAGTTGTTCCAACTCGACAGGACCTTTGTCGCAACACATCGAACTCTACGCTATGTGACAGCCTTAAACCATGCAAGGGAATGTAGAGCCATTCCATGGATGTGTACTTGTCTATCACACTCCTATTGATGAGTACTTTTGAGGTACCCTTCTAAAGATGTGTACTAAACACAGATATGGACTTCTAGTGCAGTAAGGGAGGGTGGGGCACCATGACCACTGGGGCACCATGACCACCCCCCTCGCTCTCGGGAACTACTTTGCCGACGGCAACCGGTCGACCGGACTTTCGAGCGAGGGGTGAATCACTGGTGTACTCATGTGTACAAATTTTCCCGTACTCAGTGTACTCACAAGTTTTAATAGGGCGAAATTCACCAGGTTTACGACCAATTTGGCGTTGAGTGCCATTTAAAACGCTAAATAAAACCTTAAAATGTTTACAAATGTGAAATTTATAAGAAAAGCAAGGTGTACTCACCCGTACTCATGTACTCATGTGTACACCAGAACGCAGAGTGATTCACCCCTTGCTTTCGAGAGAATAGAATTCTAACTATTTTCAGCCAGAGCCCTACCTTCTAGCTTCAAGGGTACGACCATAGCACCTCGCCAAAATTTTTGTTACAGCGTTTTGTCTAAATTGGGCGTTTTTCAAATCTCAGATATTTTCTCTCACTCACATTTGAGGAGATAAGTTCGATGTCTTAGGTTTTTCTCAAAATGTCGGCTCTCCGGCAAAATATCCAACATCACATTTTATTCTTAGTAGCTTTTTGCTTGCTCGGGGAGCCTTAGAGTCGTAAACTGCATAGTGGGGAGCGATGGCCACTTTTTAGTGGGGCACCATGACCATACATGTTTGAGTGTTTTTTTTTTCTCATATTTTGGCCTGATAATGATTTTTTTTTAGTCGAAAATTTGCTGTTTGCTTCTGAAATTGTATAAAGGTTGAATAATTGCTGCAGAATTGATAGTTTTATCACAAATCGTAAATCAGCAGGATGATGAAGACTGGTTCTGAAACTGAGACTTGTAATGGTAATTTCTCTTGCTCTAAATGAGCTCCAAACCGCAAAAGTTGGCCGCGAAGGCGATCCGTGGCTACTTTGCACCAAGATGGCTCTGGCATTATGAGAAACAGCATTTAATTCACTTGTTTGCAGTGTAGTAACCGCGATAATTTTCTTAAAATTTACCAAATTGAAATCTGCATACGAATTTGGATTCGTCTTAGCAAGACAAACATAAAATGTTAACACATGTCATAGCTTTGGATGTGAAATTGGAAAGCCTTAGAGCGTTAACTGTTTTAAACCGTCCATTTTAAGGCATCTCAGAACGTTTGATACTTCGAAGGTTTTTACAGTGTTTTTTAGTTAAGTTGTCTGGCCTGATGGTAAGGACAGCGATATAAACAATTTCAATGAGAATACTGGTAGAAAGTACACTTTTTTGGGCCAAAAAATTACTATGGTCATGGTGCCCCACGGGGTTGTCATGGTACCCCATAGGTGGGGCGCCATGACCACTTTGCCTTTTATTTTCCAAAGTGTTCTGTGAGCCTGCCGTGCATTGTAGACAAGTTCCAATGGGTGGAAGAGGTCCTTGGAGGTACAATGAATCCCCTCATGCTGGAAACTTTACTTTTCGAACCACACGATGGAGTAGAGGGAGGCACAAAATAAGTGGTCATGGTTCCCCACCCTCCCTTACAGCGTTGGTTTCTTGAAGTGTGCATTGAATGCATACGCGTTTTCAGTGATTTTCGACTCGAAATGCAGGTTCTTTGAGCAATAATACCAACCCTTTTCCGTCAGATTCATGCAAGAGGCTCAGTGTTCCTGCTTCCTTTCATCTTGCTTTGGACAATCGGACCGCTGCTGGCCTTAGGCAATGTTCGGAGCAAGAATATCAACAATTTTGCTGTAGGTAAGGGTGAGTGGGGCACCTTGAAAGTAGGGTGTAATGGAGACGCAATCGACTATCGTTCACTGCCGAACGCAGCTCGCTCGAGCCGGTTTGCTGTAAAACTGTTTGCGAAGCATTTCCTTGAACTTCATGGCTTGTTTTGTTGCTTCATGCATACGCGGTGGCAATGCAACAAAGTGACAAAAGTTCGAAATATCTGTTGTTCTTTTTTTTTAGGAAACGAACAAACACTTTCAAAATGTAGCCCAAGTTTTAATCCTCAATCACAGCATAAAAAATTACTAATTTTTTCTAGACTTGATAGGCGAGACAAGCAAAAATGTAAACACAAGTTATAGAATTAGACTCGAAATAAACAAGTTATTGGGCATTTACGTGAAAAGGGGAAGAAAAGTACAAAAATGCTGTACCCACTTATTTCTGAGAAAAGGCTTTTTGGACCTTCTGTGATGAGTCAATGTAGAATCAGAACCAATTTACCGATTTTGACGAAACTTGAACCAATGGCAGGCAAGTGAAAGCTCTTCACTTTAGGGGTAAACCTGTATTGAGCCAAGATTGGTAGTCTCCTGGTTCGAAATCGCAATTCTTTTCGGTGTACTTTTCTTTCCCGGTGGTGTCCTTTCCTTACCCTTTTCGAGGAGTTCCGAAATGACGTACATTTTGGCATGTTGTACGTAATGTAGGGAACTATAATCGATGAACAGTGATTTATTTCATTAGGAAGGCATTGGATTTCAAGTTCACGAGAGCAGAATAGTTGAATCCTCTTTTGGAACTTCTGTACAGTGCAAAGTACGCGTATTGTACTTTTCTTCCCCAACCTACCCCTACCATTTTGGGAATACAGACCTAACTTTTTTTCCCATTCACCGTGACTCTTGCAACCTGTTTCCAATCATATGTGACACCGGTATGATCAGGGGGCGGCAACGGCCTAGGAAGCGCGTGAAGCCATGCGCGAGGGAGGTGCAGGGGTTACTTATTTTGCTTCGATTGGAAGATCTAGCTCGTTGATTGCAAAACGCTTTGCGCAGATCAAAAGAGCACAAAGTTTAAGGTGCATTAGGCCTAGTAGGCTGTCCGATACTTCCAATCAAACCGAACACAAGGCGGAATCATTTACATCGACATGGCGCATTCGAGTTTTTCCTGAATTTTATGATTTCTCGTGTTTTTCGGTGTTTTCACATCACCTTAATGTACAGTCAGGGGGGAGTTTCGAGAAGAGCAATTAGCCTAATGCACCAAATTTAAAGCCCTTTCCATCGGTGCAAAGCGTTTTGAAAAACACTGTCTAGTTTTCATGATTTCGAACAAGGCAACGGCCTAGGGAGAGCGTTAAGCGATGCTCGCGCCGTCAGTGCAGGCGATGCTCGCGCCGTCAGTGCAGAAGTTGCGTACTTGTTCGAGATCATGAAAACTAGACAGTGTTTTTCAAAACGCTTTGCACCGATGGAAAGGGCTTTAAATTTAGGGTGCATAAGGCTAATTGCTCTTCTCGAAACTCCCCCCTGACTTTATATTAAGGTGATGTGAAAACACCGGAAAACACGAGAAATCGTCAAATTCAGGAAAAACTCGAATGCGCCATGTTGATGTAAATGATTCCGCGCTTGTGTTCGGTTTAATTGGAAGTATCGGGCAGCCTACTAGGCCCAATATGCACCTTAAATTTTGTGCTCTTTTGATCTACGCAAAGCGTTTTGCAATCAGCGAGCTAGATCTTCCAATCGAAGCAAAATAAGTAACCCAAGCCCCAGCACCTCCCTCGCGCATGGCTTCACGCGCTTCCTACACGGTAAAAAAAATGTCCTGTCAATGCCGTTAGTTTATTACCAGTTTTCACTGTAGGATAATTCACAGCGTTTCCTGTGATCTGCTCACGTGATTCACTGTGATCTTGTTCCCGGTGTTCACTGTGATCTGGTCTGCAGTAAACACTGTCAGTTTGACGCCGCCAAGCACCGAAGTGTTGGGGTGTCCGCAGTGTTCGGTGTTTTTCGTGAAGAAACGTAACGATGTTGATCGTAAAACTTATATATATTTTCGCAAACTCTTACAAGAACTCTTACTCATACGCTAGCAAACCACAACTGCACTCTCTGACTCTCCGTCTCCGACCGTCCCCGCAGTGCCCCGGAGCACCGCGCTCCAGCCCTTCGACTCTGGCTGATAACACAGTGCTACCACGACACCGCGCGCAAACTCCCTTACGCTAACCATCGGTGCCGGCCTCAGTGAAGGGATTTTCGCTGCTCGCTGCCTCCAGCGCGAGGCAGCCCTTCGTTCAAAGTCTGTGCGTGACGCATGCCCTGCCGCGCGGAGAGCCGTCCGCGTCCGCGTGACCGAGCATAGGTCACTCTGGGATCCCTTCACTAAAGTCAACATAGCCCGGACGCCCGGGTGATTCCGTGCGTAGAGGGTCATTTTGGATGTACCAAATTTTTTTTAAAAAAGTTCAACTTTAGGGGCTAAATTTGGTGTAGATGGCATACTTAGTACCCCACAGTATCCCTCTGAGCGTGGCAGCGCTACAAGTCGACTTTTAATTTCATCCCCCATGAAATACGGCGGAATTTACAGAAATAATGACGGAATTTACAGATTGCGGAATTTACAAAGCGAAGTGTTTAGTCTCCTGACCAGCTGGGTTACAAGATAGGTAAAAACTGTTGACGGTGTCATTTTGAGCACCCAAAATAGCGTTTTTCGGCGGAGGTTGTGGGAACTTTCTCCCTCAGATGGAGGAGCTACGGCCCGAAACGGAATTTACATCTATTTTTACACCCTTACTGTTTTTGGCCCGCCCTTCTATTCAAAAAATAGGGGGAGGGCCTATGCATTTGCCTTTGTGTCTGTGTGTTTGTTGTTGTTGTTGGCGTCTGTGTACAAGGAAGGAGTTGAGCTAGAGTAACCAGATTTGGAGGGTACTTCAGGAGTACCGTCCAAACAAATAATCCGGTGGTGCAAATCCCGTCCGGGTCGCACAAGGGCTGCTGCAGGTGCATCATGGTTTACATGAGCGGGAGGGGGATTTCCGCCATTATTGGTGCTAGCAGGGCACATAGGGGTATTTTTGGAATCGGGGCAACGAGACAGGATGAATGGACCTGGTCCCGACCCCATCGGCCGCTTTTACAAGTTGGCCAGATCAGGATCTTCAAAAAAGGGGGTCGACCGACTAAAAAAAATTATTGCAGATTTCGATTGGTCTCAGCAAGACCTTTTCAACGAGGGGTCGGAAAGGGGGTCCAGGAGCCCGACTTCGTCTATTAGTCACATCAGGATCTTGAAAAAAGGGGGTCGACCGACTGAAAATTTTTACTTAAGTTTTGGATAGGTCTTGGCAAGACCTCTTCAACGAGGGGTCGGAAGGGGGGTCCAGGAGCCCGCCTTCATGAGTTATGGGAAAAAGTGCGACGGACTCGTTTTGCGCTCCTGCTGTGCCTCTATTGCAAGGAGTTGCAGTAGCATGGCAAATATGGGTATTTTCGGAATGAGGGCGAAGAGACAAATGAAACGGGCATATTCTAAGGACAGTTGGAGTAAAAAGTGTAAGGACCATTGCATATTGTGAATAGAAGGGAGGGCCTAAGTCACGATGGTACATCGATAACTTTGCTTTACCCGCTCACGGTGTGTGTGATGCGAGCGGGCCGAAGGCCCGGGCCTTCGACTGGCCAAGTTGGGTCTGATGCGAGGGCCGAAGGCCCGAGAAAAGGCCGCCGGCAGGCCAAGCTGGGCCGGCCCCCTGTCGAACCGAGTTGCCGGCGCAGCGAAGCGGAGCTGGCAACTCGGTTCGACGGAAGGGCGGGCCCTAGCTTGTTAACAATTCTGACGGCCTGGAAGCGTCGTTTGACCGCCCCAGGTCCCGCGGGCACGGGCTTCTGGCAGCGTTTGTTATGTTCTTTCGATCCCAAGTGGTCGCGAGGTTCTTAAACGAAAAGGAACCCCAGTAGACCGTCAGTTGTGAAAGCAGCATAGGTCACCTGGTCACACGGTGGACATTTTCCCATAGGCTGTTTCGGGTTCAACAAGTGATGATACAAAGGTCACCTTCCGTAATTTTGTGAAGAATAAGTCAGGGAAGAGAGTGAAATAGCCAGGTTTCTTTTGATGTGGCTCAGTCATATACTACAGCATGGCAATGTTGTCTTATAGTTGTTGGTGACCATGACGGAACTTACAAAACGACACTTTAGCAGCTTACAAAACCTAGAAAAACAAAAGTAAGATTGACTTATCCACATGAGGACATGGTCTTCATTTAGTAAAACAAATTTGAATTGCCCTAGCTACCAAATCACCCTCAGTTCAGGCGCAAGGCCCCGGTGACCTGAAATGACCCCCTACGCACGGAATCACCCGCCCGCCGGAAAACATTGCGAAACGACAAACGAGTCGTGGCGTCGTCCAGACCAACCGATGCCTTATCTAACTTAGCCGAAATAGAAATAACCGCGCTGGCGGTGCTCATTCCGCCAACAGAAGTACTGCAAATCAGGCTCCAATTCACGGCGTTTACTGTGGCCAGATCACAGTGAACACTGACCGAGATCACAGTGAACGCCGTGAACTAGTTCACAGCAAACGCTGTGAATTGCATAACAGCAAACATTGGTAATAAATTAACGGCATTGCCAGGACATTTTTTGTACACTGTACGCCATTGCCGCCCCCTGATTTCACGGCAGAGGGTCCGAAACTAAGATCCACTGTGTTCAGGGCCCGTACATCGCTTTCGGCCACAAATTCGACCCATGCCCGTCGGACGGAACCATAGAAGTGCTCATCCGTGCCAGCCACTTCAACCCAGCCAGGCCCTACGATCTGCAGACTATTTCGGGGAACTTGTCCTCGAAAGAAGACATGAAGGACAATTATTGGGTAAACTAAAAAGTCTCTTTCAAAGGGTCTGCTTAGCTTATTTTTGGCTGAGCGATAGCGAAGCCCGTTACTCTAGTGCGGTTGAAAAGTTTGGTCTGTCTGTCTCTCTGTGTGTATGTGAGTGAGTGTGTGTGTGTGTGTGTGTGCACTACTTCTCCTTAACGGCTCGGCCGATCTGGCTGCGATTTTGCAGGCTTATTTGTTATGTTCTTGGCTGGGCACACGCGATATTTCACTATCCTTGCTCACGTGGTTCAGTTTTTATAGCCGAAAAACAGCAAAAACGGCAAAAAATCGAGTTTTCTGCTGGCAGATCACTTCTGTCTTGAAGGAAGGGGGGGTCTGGAGGGCGGAGCCTCCCAGCCTGGACAAGTTAAAAAGTTAGAAGGGTCAAGATTGTGCTATCTGTAGATGAAGCAACTCTATCTAGAATGAAGGGGGGTCTGAGGGGCTCCGCCCCCAGAAGTCGATGGACGAGCCATTGTCTGCCGAAGGCAGACCAGCGCCGCAGGCCAAGGTAGGTACGCCAGGCGTGGATTGGAGGAACAAGCCGCGAGACATCGCGAAGCCTGTTACGACAAGACACGGTCTGGCGTAAACCTATCTTGTTGTACTTGCGCCGATGGTCCTCCAAGCAATGGCAAATGAGTGATAGGCACCATTAAGTTACCTTCTAAAAAGGAAACTCAAATTAAAAATACAAATCTTTGAGAGGAGCTGACACTCTACATTCACACCGGCGTTAGGACTGGCGGGATTCGCTGAACATAAGTTACAGCACACATCAGGTCAAATTGATTATTTATTAGTAATTTTATAGTAATTTTACTAGTAATTTACGATGCTACTGCTCAACATCGCTTGTGAAGAACAACTAACTTCAGTGGGTCAAAACCTCGGGCAAAACGAAGCAAAATGGACGATATTCACAGATAAAGCGTTGATGTACATCTCGTTACGGTTGAAGGCCATACGCCCTTTTTGAAACTTACAACCACGCTTTAAAGCATTCATACATCGGAGATGGTCACTGGAAGACGTTGTCCTTGATATTATATTACTGTTCTCCGTTTTTTTGGCACGTCTATCGTGCCATACGTGTAGAACAGTGCAGCCTCTTCTTTTATTTGCCCGTGAATCTTTCTGGGTTTTTCACTGTGCAAACCCTGCCTTGCATTGACGAATGAATGTTTATTACGTTTCAGTCTCGCGTCGAAATGGCCGTACGATCAAATAACCAATGGAAAGACAACGCCTTTATCTTCAATTTCCCCAGACTGGGATGCACTGCGATCCGTGAACAAGTTCCAGACTTATTTCGCATCATTGCTAAGCACAGCGGAGCACCGACAGACAAAGCGGCTCCCTGCGTCATACCAGCGGTACATGAGTGCGGTAGTTTATTGGCAAAGCGTTGGCGAAGCCCGAGGGGTGAATCACGTGTGTATTACTCGTGTATACATTAGTCCGTACTCAGTGTACACGGTTAAAAAAGCGCATATCACTGGTTTTTGGCGCCACTTGGAGTAGATTGTCACCTCAAATGGCTCTAAGGGCCAAAAACGTTTCAAAATGTTAAAATTATGAGTATTATAACGTGAACTCACCTGTACTCATGTATCAGAACCGAGGGGAATCACTAGTGTACTCATGTGTACAAATTTGCCCGTACTCAGTGTACTCACAAGTTTTAAAAAGGTGAAATTCTCGAGTTTTTCGACTGATTTAACGTCGACTGCCGTTAAAAACGCTAAATAAAGCCTTAAAACGTTTCAAATTGTGAAATTTATGAGTAAAGCAAGGTGTACTCACCCGTACTCATGTACTCATGTGTACACCAGAACGCCGAGTGATTCACCCCTCGATCAGAACGCACAGTGATTACCCTCTCGGCCAAGCCTCTATTAAAAGGCTTCCACTCGAGTACATGGGGGTCAAAGCACTTTCCCAGCTCATTGGCTCAGCAACAGCGAAGCTACTTCAAGAGGGGACAAAAAGTAACATCGCCTGTAAGTCCGTATGCGGAGACTTCTCCTAAACGGCTTGTCCAATCTGGATCAGATTTTGAAGGATTATGACACTATCCTCAGGTCATGGACTTATCCTTCATTCGGCATACGCAGCAGTGCTGAGCTCAGCATATGTAAGCCAAAATCGAGGGGTCATATTCAAAAGATCTAATCTGGGCGCTACTATTCAAAGAATCTTACCTGCAAAGCAAGCGAATTTCACCAAGTTTCATCATTTGAGGCAGCTACAAATCAAAATAATTTGGGATTGTAGTCACACAAATTTGAAGATGAAAGACCGAAGGAATTAATTAAGTGCCTCCACTCTTGACACTCTTACATTGCACAGATTTCTGTAAATTATCATAAATCTCCTTTTTCTTGCACCGATCTTCCGCACACCTGACTCGACCGTCCGCCATCTTTACATCTGCAACTGGTGAAACTTTTTCTGCTGTTTCAGGCGACAATCCGTTATCATCTCCATTCAAAACTTTGACTCGAGATTTAATATCCCTGGAATCGCTTCTAGATTCAGCCTGCTGTAGATGAAGAACTTTCTCAATTTCCAAAAGTTTTATTTCAAGGGCACTAGTTTTGTGTTTCTCTACTGCAAGGGCAGATGCTAATTCAGCGTTATTAGTTCGAAGATCTTGAATATCTGACTTGTGCAGGACGAGCACGCGGAGCAGACAGAGCCGTAGCAGAATGCACTTTATCCACTTGTGAAGATTAAAGATTAAAACGATTCATCCTATAGACAGCTTCAGGAACTGATGTAAAACTTGGTATGAGAACGTAAGTCATGAAAAGTTGAATTTTTCAGCTGTTTTTAGAAAATGTCCTTTGGCTGAAATGACAAATGGACCGAGATAAAAAGCTGAATTTAGGCGTGTGGGGAGCCAAGGATATATCCAGAACCTACGCAATCTCAACGACATCGGCCGAGCCGTTCAGGAGTGCTGACAGACATAATACAGACAGGCAAAATTTTCTAACGGGCTTCGCTATCACTCAGTCAGTAACTGGAAAGTAAACCAGATATAAATGTTTGATAATAAAATTAGCACTTTTTTTCTGATCAACTTACACTCTTAGTTCTATTTGTCACTTTTGCAGGGGGTTTACGTGTTGAAGAATGAATCGGTGAGCTGGACGTTTCCCAACTTCCCAGTCATACCGTACGGGCGTTACCGGTTCCGAGTGACGTCACGCAGCATCACCAGTCGCACTACGCTTCTTTGCCTCGAAGTCGACTGCGAGGCAATTCCAAAACCGTAAACTGCTGTAGACCAATTAAAAAAAAAAAACAATAAAAAAAATGTTGAACTATTATGAACGTTTATGTTGCAATTGTATCCTATGGAATTCCACGACTTGTGGGATGCTCCGTCAGATTTTTGTGATTGGGTTTTGGGGCTCATGCTTCACAACCATGTAAGTTTTAGGTAGCCAGATGAGTCTTCCGGACTTTCTTCGGCTGCATGGTAAACAGCACATGTTTCCGGTAAATCTTTCCTGTTAATACCGAAAGAAAACATGTCTTTGAAATCCGGCTCCCTTGTCTTTTTCATTTTGACCATAAAAAGATGTGGCAACTTGGTCAGATTTTTGGAACAATATTTGGAATCCTGCGCGCAAGGATTAAAAGCCAAATATCGACCAAATCTAAATAGGTTGCGAAAATTCGAAACGTGCCACCATACTCGCAACCAAAGATAGTGAAGGGGTAAAAAGGCATGGAGACTCCAATGGTGATGTCCATTTCAATGTCAGGGTGACCATTAAGTAAAAATAAAAGGCTGAAAAACATGAACAAATTACAAATTTCACTTCCCCCCAGCAGAATTTTCGCAAGTAACGTAACTAGTTTGGGAGTCAGTGCGGGGTATCTTTAGAGGTAGAGCAATGGAACAAAGCTTAAAATCATCAGGAAACATAAATGAATAGTGACAGAAGCTTTTTTTTACTGTCTGGGATTATTTAAGCAAAAATACCCAAAATGTTTATGTTTCTTGAAACTTGAAAAATTAGACTCCCCCAAAATCTTCACACTGAGGAAACGTTGCAAACTATTTTGGGCCTTACAAAGAAAAGTAGTTTGTATAACAAAGTATTTTGAGCATACGCAAGCCCACAAAGAAAATACTTCGTAATTTACGAACTATTTCTTCGTATAACAAAGTATTTTAGTTTGTTATATGTATGCTCAAAATACTTCGTAAGGTTTTAAGATTGCAATCACTTTGTAGAATAGGTCATAAGGATCAAAACAAATTGGATCAAAACAAATTTTATCTAACCTTTCTAACTCTAAAGGTACCATGCTCTGCCTGATCTCTTCAATATCTCAATATTTTGAATTTCTTCCACTTCAAAGGGCTGTTGGCTGTTGTTTTGAGTATGATTAGATGCATATGACGAAATTAGAAAAGAAGTAGAAATCAGATTTTGTTTTTGGTGTTCCCATCCCCCTTCATGAGAACAAGAATCCTGTGGCGTCACGTTTCGTGCGCGCCGCCATGCATGTCGGCGTTGTTCTATGAATCCCGTGTATCGCGATGACTATCGTTTCGCTTTTCAATGTCGTTCCCTGTGAGAGGCTCTTCCATGGAAGCCAGTGAAGCACTCCCTGTCAGTGCAATTTGCACCCAACTGGCCAATACAGAGCTCCTGCGATGACCCAACACTATGTGGGTGGACACAAGGTGAATGTTATGGAATGTGGTTCAGAGCCAAACTATCGGTATAACGCAAAATATATCGTAATGCTGGGCTCAAAGACCCGTACACGCAAAATTACGGAGCGATGGGACTAGTTTGTAACTGCACTGTGAAAACCTTACTATTCTGGGCCTTAATCGGATTGTTATAACTAGGGGCACGCGCCGTTAAGTTTGGGGGTTTGGGCGGGTAGTGGAAGCGCGATGCGACTTGCCAGACATAATCTAATGCCAGCGTTTTGGCACGGCGGAACTCACTATTCACGAATGGTTTTTGATTTTGGGGTGTGCCACGCTTATTGTCAACTTTAAAGCGCATGGACGGGATTACCTCTCTTATGTGCCCTCTTCCCTCGCGGACAAGTTACAATGCGGACAAGTTGGAATGCCGCCGGTTTATCGTATTCGTTCATATAATGCTTCAAATCCGAGGGGTGAATAACTCATCGTCTTTGTGTACACATGAGTACATGAGCACAGATGAGTACACCTAAAAATACTCATAAATTGGGCTTTTTGTCAACGTTTTTACGCCTTTTTAGCGTTTTAAACTTGAATCCATACCGAATCCTGTATAAGTTTGGCTATGTTTGCTCTTTCAAAATTTGTGAGTACACTGAGTACGGGCTTATTTGTACACATGAGTACACTAGTGATTCACCCCTCGTTCAAATCGGACCCCCAAAATGATGCGCGTAGCGTCAATGATTGGTTTCTTCTAACAGAAATGAGATTCCAAACGCCAGGTGTATAGGTCCAGTGCGCTTGAACCCGTTTCCAACGCACCAGATAAAGCAATGTTGCTGCATCGCACGAGGACACCGCATTTTCGGGACACCCCATGCACAGTATAAAAACAATAGAGTATTCTAGTCGTCGCCGGTCGAAGAACAAGAAGAACAAAGCCGGAACTGGCCCCGGCAACATAACCCTCCCAGACTTCTATGAGTGGACTAGTTCCCGAGTTTTCTGTGGCGTATCTCCTTCAAAAGCACTTCCGTTTGTTTCAAACACTTTTAGACTCAGGAAATAAAAATATTTGACGACATTTCTCGTTGGAACCGGGTTTGACAATAGTACTCCGTTCCTTCCCGGCTTCTGGTTTTGTTCTTCTTCTTGTTCTTCGATAGGTGACGACTAGAATGCTCTATTCTGCCTGGAACTCCCTGGAAGTAGCGCAAGTCTCTGCGACAGGCTCTACAGGGTGAGTTTTCTCGATGTGTCAATAATTTGTAGGTAGCTTGGGCACCCCGAGGGCATCATTTTTCACACATAAACTAGTAGGCGCAAACGTCAAGTTAAGGTAGTTAGTGTTTTGTAATTTAGCTTCGCGCCTACTAGGTAGGCACCTGCTGCCACTGAGGGTGGAGGGACCTCATGAGTGGGTGTCAAGGGTCTCGCAGTACTCGCGGGAGTGCCACCCTCGCGAAACAGCCGTGAGGTCCACTGTTACCAGGCACCAGGCCACCAAGACAGCCACTTGCGACCCTCGGCAACCCCCCGAAAAGACAAGTGCAAGGTCCGCCGCACCCCCGCGAGTCTCGAAGCATCCCCGCTAGACCCGCGACACCTCGTGAAGTCCTGCGACCCTCAGTGGCAGCGGGTGCCCATCTCGCAAATGCGAACGCCTATTACAAAACACCAATTTTCTCCGTACCTAGACGTTGGCGCCCACTAGTTCATTGGTGAAAAATTATCTCCTCGGGGTGCCCAATCTACAATTGACACATCGAGAAAACTCACCCTGTATAGGAAATCCAGAAACGGTTTTTTCCGTGCGCAAAGGACGGCGATGCGATTGTAATGACGAGGATGTAATGATGCACACTTTTTCTCACAAACGCACATCTTTACATTGCTGGGTGGTTTGCTTCAAAACGTTCATGTTCGGGCACCAAATTCCGTGAAAAAGAAGTTGGCCCAAACTAATTTTTTCTGGCAAATTCTTTTCTTATTTCGCCTAGAAGAAATATCCTTAAGCCTGCAACGCTTAAGGGGGGCGGACAAAATCGATTTCCGGTTTTTGCTTTTTTTTTCGACTCTTAGGGCCTTGGTACAACCAAAGCTGACCATATTTCGATCCACAGCACCGTCAAATCGGTACAGGAAACTTTTAATTCGTAAAATCACTGTGAGGTGCACTGGTAACCAACGAATGTGACGTCATATTCGTTGGAGAGTAAATTTTGACACGTTCGTTTGAATATGATGTCACTCGTTTGAACGTAACTCGGCCGTTAAAGTAGGGTGTCACATTCGCTTGAACGTGTATCAACATTCAAACGAATGTGACATCATATTCAAATAAACGTGACAAAATTCACATTCGAACGAATATGACGTCACATTCGTTGGCTTCCAGTGATAGGTTAGGCCCTTTAACTTTAATCCCAGTTTTCCTCAGTTCCTTTTTTTTTTACCTTGCGCGCAGGATACCTTGGAGACCATAAGACGTACAATGCTGTGAGACAGCTTAAAATGATCAGTGTTCATAAACATAGCTAGAAGACAAGGGAGAGTTTTTTTTTTTTTTTAAATATACTTCAATCTTTAGTTGGAGATCAATGAATGTCCAAAAGCGGCATAAAAACAGTCATGATTCTAGTTTTTAAGATTAATAACAAAAGAAATCATGTTTTTGAAATCCGGCTCCCTTGTCTTTTTCATTTTGACCAGAAAAAGATGTGGCAACTTCGTCAGATGTTTGGGACAACATTTGGATATGAAATCCTGCGCGCAAGGATTAAAACCCAAGGTTACCGGTCATTTTCCCAAATTCATTTTCCCAATCGAGAATATTTCTATAACTTTCATTCGGAATGTAGATTTCCCAAAGATATTTTTCCCAAATCATTAATTTCCCCAAAAATGTATTTTTCCAAAATAGTTTTTTTTAACTGAGAGATCGACTTGTCAGGCTTGTCATCAACAAGCAAGTCATAATCAGGAAGGAAACCTTTGATAACCGAAGTAAGGTGATTAAATAATCTTACCTAGATTTAGGTGGTTGAGTGATAATATCTGGCCCAGAATTTGATACTCATCAAAACTATCATTCACACTGTTCTTCCGGAGTCTTGTCACCACCCCCTTTTCGGTCATTATGACCTCCGCCTGTTTCCTTCTGGAGTTCGTTAGCACATAACAAAAGATTTTGGGAAAAATTTTGGGAGTAACTTTGGGAAAATAAAATTTGTAACAATGGATTGGAAAATATCCCGCGTGGGAGAATTTGTATGCAAAATTTGTGAGAATGAGTCTGCGTCGCCGTTCTGCCGCCTCCGCAAAGCTAGGCTATATACTCATACAGTTCCGGCTCTTGTTCTTGATTTCTTCTCAACTTCCGCCCCGGACTCTTCTCCGAAGTTCCCTATTTACACTCAGATCTCTGTTTGATTGACGCAGGAGGCTTCTCTGATTCGTTCTGACGTGCTGTGGATAATCGTGCTGCTGCTGGCATTTGGCGAAGTTCGAAGCAAAACTATAAACATGTTCGCTGTAGGTACCAGGTAAGGGAGAGAGGGGCACCACTACACTACACGGTAAAAAAATGTCCTGTCCATGCCGTTAATT